ATCTTAGCCTGGAGGCCAGTTCATTTGGCGGCCACCAAGGAGGTGGACGTGAATGTGATAAACAGATTGACCTGCAATGGAACATTCCTACATCAGTAAAAGTTCTAAAACATACACAACACATATTTAAGCATGTAAAATGGAGAAAGAAGAAGCTGTACATACATCCTTGTGGGCCATCATTAATCACAACCCTGAAGCCATCTTCTAGTCCTTCCTGTTTGGCTACCAGCTTAGCAGTGTAAAGAAGGCAGCCAAGAATCTCGAAGTGCCTTTCCTCAGCCTACAGATATAAGAATAGAAGTTCTTAATGACAATTGTACAAAATACAAATTCTTTCAATCATCTTTTGGTATGGAAAGGGGCACAGTGTCCTATATCCAACAATAAAAATATTTTAATAAAGTACCATTCAAGGTTAAGAATAAGAATTTTCAGGACTTGCTGAAGTGGCCAAATAAATGTCAGCTTTGAGTGCCGCTTCCCACCTATGAGGCTACAAAAATATTGAAATATACAGCCAATGCATTGTTCTAAGCCACACTTAGCTCAAAGAAGTAACAATGAAGCCAACAGTTATGGAAATGGAACACAAAACAAACCATTGACAATGTGTAGTTCAAGTGCTTTTATCAAGGTCTTACACTTCTGATTTTGTCAAACACTTTAGTGAAGGGTGGAAAGCAGAGAAAGCACCTATTGTATTTGCATCAATGCACCACAAACAAGAACCATTTTACAAGCATGTTTACCACTCTTTTAGGCAAATGTTAGAACAGGTCAGGCAGATTAGCAGACAAAATCAAGCAGGTATCTTCTAAAACAGGTCTATGTTTGAAGGGGTTAGATTTTTAAAATGGTCAAATCCCTACCAAGATATAAAACAGGGTGTTCACAAATCATGCAAAAGCTAGCTGATGCAAGATATCTTCAAGTGGATGCCATACCAAATTACAATGAAACAAAGGAACATTCATACTCTATTGAGTTACATTTCATAGATGGCACGGTAATATATTGAAGAGAAAGAGTTGTACCACAAGGCCCATGACTTCCCCCAAATTAGAGTAAAAAATCATTGTCTTACCCCTATATGATTAAGAAAGGGGATTACCTTTGACAGTCCAGTCAAGCCATCTTTTACTTTGGGAATAATTACAATATGTGTGGGAGCTTGAGGAGCTATGTCCCTAAAGGCTAACACCTGGAAAAGCAAATAGAAGAAAGCACAAACAAATTATAAAACCAGAAGTAATGGATCAACTACCTTATGCAACCATATGTATTAACTGGAAACTATGGTATACTCAAAGCCATTTTCAAAGTGAAAATATAGAACCAAAACCAGTAATTCATCTACTCAGATAATCAGAACAATGCATCTATTATATGATTCAAGAAAACAACACTAGTTGTTCAATCCAATCCGAAAATACTTTTTGCAAAAAATTGGATATTCTATTAAAAAACTTGAACAGTTGAACTAAATACATTTCATGTAGTTGTTCGCACCAAATAACTAAAAGTAAAACCAAACCACCTCAGTTCACTTCTAAACAAGAATTAAGCAAAAGCATCCAAGTTTTGTAGTCAAGGTTCTGTCTTTAGCTACCCTACTAGAATACTCACTACATCCACCTAAACCTTAATCAGTCCAAACCATTACAATTAGAAATTTCACCACTTCCCAACAGATAAAAAGGAATAGCACTACCTTATCATCCTCATAAACCACATTTGCTGGAATCTCTTTCTTGATGATTTTGTCAAAGCTGCAAGTAATGCATTTGGAAAATAAATAAAAATGGATGGAAAACTATTTTTACAAAAACCTAAAGGACAATTCAATTCTAGTAACACCTAAATTACTAAAACAATCAATGAATATGTTTTAAAATATAAGAAAAAGGAAAAGGGTTCCAATATCATGAATCAAGCTGACATTTTTTCTCTAATTTCTAAGAAAAGTTGTTTCCGTTCTTTTCCATTTTCCGTCGAGTCAAACGGAGCGCATGTGTTTCATCTGTGCGCGTTTCAAAAATAGAATCAAAAGAAAGAGGCAGAAATTTGAGAGCCGGAGAGAAGAAACATACATGGTCGGAGCATCGGAGGGGGCAGCCGCAAGAGCGGCTTCTTTCTCAGAAGCCATGGCAGAAGACGAAGAATCCGGAGACAAATGGGATCGCAGCACGTTGTGTCTTCTGCTAGCTGGACCTTTTCTATTTTCCTTGTTATTCACTCCGGGCCCTAACGCTAACCAGATTCTTTTATCTAAAAAGCGCACCGCATTTGCAACCGCGTCATATTGTGCTATATTAATTTTTAAATAAAAATTAGCCTCTTAAAGTTAGGTTTTTTTTTTCTTATTTAGTAATTTTTATTTTATAATTTAATACAATTTAAATAATAAAATAAAGGGATTGGTCTCTTAAGGTTGGACCTTTTTCTCAATTAATAATTATTATTTTATAATTTAATAGAATTTAGACAGTAAAATAAAGTTACCTCCTTTTTTTTTATTCTTTTACTTAATCTTTTTTTTCCCTTTTACTTTATCTTTTTATGAAATAAGTATTTTGCAATTTCAAAAGCAAAATATTAATTATTATTAAATTAAAAGAGCCATGATATTGGAAAAATTATGCCTAATGACTGGTATTATACAAAATACAAACTCTCTTTTTATAATGTCATCTTTCTAGTCTATAAAGAATTGGGCGTGAGCTGATTGAGTTCTTAAAGATGATTTTGCATCATCTCAATTCAGATGTCC